TCAGGGGTGTGTTTACAGCAGGGATCCTGTCAGGGGAGTGTTTGAAAGCTCAGGGATTTGAAATAAAGAACACTATGCCAAAGGAAGGTGAGCAGTGCATCCCCCAGGAGCCAGGTAAATGCAGTCCAGTGCTGCAGGTGACAGTGAGAACAGAGATACGATCCTACAATGCCACTTGATCACTGAAACAAAAGAGGGGCAATGGTGTGCACGTGGGACTTCCCACTCAAAACACCTGTAGAGCTTCCAAGTGATGCCACTTGCAGGAGACCTGCCAGTCAAACACAGAGGGGAGATGGTCACTGATCTGTCACTGAGTGATGGGAGCAGAGGTGACAGCAGCTCCAGAGGTAAAGGAGCTGCTGTTTCACTTCCAAAGGAGCACAGGTGGCCCCTGGTGCTGCCCAAGCTCTGTGGAGTTTCACAGTGCAAAGCAAAGACATAGCCATGATTTACTGTAGAGGGCAGAGGGTGGGAGTGTCACCCTGCAGAAGTGCAAATGGAATTCTGAGGGGAACAGGGCTCACCTGGTGCAATGTCTTACAGGTGTGCTGTGGGTCACACCACACACTCAGTTCCCACTGACTTGTGATGCTCTCAGCAGCTGCCTTATGCACACAACTTATGGATCTTGACAGCTGATGGGAGCAAACCACAATTACTGCCATGGTTTGCTCTGGTGCCAACACAGCCACTTCTCATTTCCTGCTCATCATCAGTCCCAGCTGGCCCCAGCTGCAGGGACAGATTTAGGCTGGCAAGGCAAAACTGCTTGTGCCAAGTACTTTTTCTTTAATGGGCACGTGAAATGTTCTCAGTTTTAATTCAAGGTTGTGGTGTGGGCAAGAAAACTCATCTTGCACCTACACTGGTACATTTTCATGACAGTTCTGCAAGACCAATTTAAAACTTATTGAATTGCTGGATGGAATGGATTCCATGATCCTGTGAGTCCCCTCCACCTTGAGATATTACATGATTCTTGTAACAGTTCTCTATTTTTTATATTAGTTCCACTTCCACTTCCTGTCCTGCCCAGGAGAGGAGTCATTTCTCATTTACCTGTTGGAGTGGTCACGGTACATTCTGTGTAGGGCAGTTGATTCAGTCCCTCTTCAACCACCAGTCTGATCTGTGGAACCAAAGAGAAGGGATTTGTTATCTATGGAGATAAGATACTCCATGTCAGCAGTTTTTAGATGAACACCTAACAGCCCAAGGGGTCTAGAAGGCTCTTTTTAATAGTACTTAGGGACTGAATTTAGAGACCTTTCTGGGGTGATCAAATGAAGGCATTGCAAAACCAATTTGGGGGAAAGGGGGATTCATAAGCAATTATAAAACTGACTTAATTTATATCTGGCAGGCATAGACATCACAGACAAGCTTTTCTCAACAGATGAATGAGGCACTGATGTAGCTTTATTTGCTGACCGGAAATACTAGTGAGGGAAAGGGACAATTCCCCCTCTCAGTTCCCCCCCAGTCGAGCTCTGAGGTCTTTTTTCACATCTGTATTCCAGGACTAACCTGCAGTGGGGCTGCCAGAACAGCCACTTTTACATTGCTGCAGCAGTGCAAACACACCAGTGAGTGCTCAAAGACAAGTCAGCAGATCTAGAAATCTGTTTCTCACCTCCTCCTGGCACCTGCCAGCTGTGGGTGCTGTGGGATGTTCTGCCAAGCACCCCCACTGCTGGATGGCTCAGGTGGAGCTGCAGCTCATGACCCCTCCAGTGGCCACAAACCCCCCAGCCCTCTCCTGGCAAAGTTCCCAAAATATCTGCATCATCATTGCCCCTGAAACATGCTCTGGGTATTAAAAATGTGCAGTTTCTCTCTGTTCAGGAGGCCAGAACTGCTCCAGGAGAGCTCCAGCTGAGGCAGAGATGAGGGTGGATATTCCAGAGTCACTGCAGGATGGCAGAAGTGAGGGGATTGCTCCTGGGATGGAGCAGGTGCACTGCTCCCCTCGGGCACTTCCCAGCCCAGAAACAGGGCAGGGCAGGTTGGAAGGTTTCTCCTGGTTTTTTTATTCTGCCCCAGTGCCTCTGCTAGAAATGAGAGATGCTCCCTTAAGTTTATAATCCCTCTTTGAAGATTTTTATTTTAGTCATTTTAGTACAAATTCTTTTCCTAGAGTCGGGTTTGTGGCCCTACTCAGAGGTGGTGTCCACGTTCTGGGACATCTCGACCCAATTTTATTTTATTTTTTAAAGTTAACTCACACAAAAAATCCCCAACCCATGAGCCAGGTTTGGAAGAAACACTTTTTTTCATACTCCTGTTTTGCAGACAGGGTTAGCATCACTCCATATCATCTGCCAAAAGTTTACAGTAAAGCAGTGAAAGGTCTTACAGCCAAATAATCTCCTTGATCTTCCTACAAGTATCAATGTTTTACCCAGGTGGCTGGAAGGATTCTCCTGTAAACTTGTCGGTGTTGATGAAACACTTTCTTTTCGCACTGTGCTTTCTGCCACCTCCATGCTCAGGGATTAATTTCCATCTCTTTTCTCTCTAGCCCCAAGAACCAGCAGCCCTGTTCCTCTCCCAGAGAGGTGGCTGCCATTGCTTGGAAGCTAAACCAGGTATTATTTATGGCCTCACATGAAACAGGAAAGCAAAGCTTAGATCCCATGGTAAGAGAGTTTGGCCAGAAATTAAAACCATTAATTAAAGTTATCAGTAAGAAAAATAAAGTTTATTTTTAATTGGGAAACAAAAACGAAGCTGAAAGGGATGTTCATTCCTGGCAGGCCAACTTAAACTGTCAAGGCTTCCAGAGTTATGCTGAAGGTTTAGATTAAGCATTTAATGCTGATATACAGAATTATCTGTCAACGTGCTCATTTATACAGTTTGACAGTTAGGATTTACCCCAGAGCCTTTGCAGTAAACAAAGGGAAATACTGTTTGCTCTGAACCTTCATTAGTACAAGATCTGCTGGAGCTGACAGCAAAAACAAGAGTTAATGGGGGGTCCAAGGAGCTTTAATCAACTACCACATAAACATTTCAATGTTAGTGAAATCTACCCTTTCTCAGCCAATTAAGCACGTGAATGAAGTCTCCTTACCACAAATACCAGGGAGGAGATCAGGTTTGACCAGTTCCTCAGATTCCAGGAACAGAGAAATCTGGATACAGGCAACTAAAGCAAGCAGGTGACAGTGCTCTCATTTAAAGGGGGCTAAAGTTAATTAGTTAAGGAATCAGTCAGGGTGCAGTGAGAGGTGGTGCTGCTCCAACCACACCAAGCTGGGAAAACAGGAGCCCTTTCAGAGCCACCCCAACAGGTATCTGTGATCTCAGCAGTTGCTGTTCCAACCCTCCTGCAACTTGGAAAAAGATGAAGCATTTAAAGGTCCAGAAATTGGACTGTAAATAAATTCTGGAGTGACCATTACCACGTTCCCCCATCGGTGGGCAGACAGCAGGCTGACTTTTTTATGTGCCAGCCCTGCATCACCTCATTTCCAAAATCACAGCAATTCCTAGGGGATCCCCTAAGCCATTCTGTGTTGCTTTTCTTGGAAGCTGAAAGGGAGGCAGGACAGCAGGGCTGTCAGCCTTGCTTTCTATCTATCTGAACAGCTCCTTGCAGCTCAGCATTTCAAACCCCTTTGGAACTCTCACCCCCAAAAGATGAAGGGACCTGCTCAGTGTTACACAGGGAGCTGCTGGTAGGGCTGAGAAACGACTTCATTCCTCAACCTCAGGCCTCCAGTCACACCCCAAAATCTGCTTTCTGCTGCAAATGACTGGTTGTTTCCCATGCCAGAGGCTTGCTTCCTTCCCAAACACCAGATGGATTGTCCTCATCCTCATAACTTCAGCCTCCCATCTTTCAGCCCCTGGCAGTGGCTTTCAGACACTCCCTGACAACCTCCAGCACCTGTTAACTGCTTTTGCTCACAAGTACCTTTGAAGGTTTCCTTTGTATCATCCCCTTACATGTGGAGCAAACTGCCAGAAATCCATCAGCTTTAGAACCCCTCCTTGAGACCTCTCCTTGTGGTGACCTTATGAGACACTGCCACTAACAGCTCTCTACAATCCCACACAGGTTTCTTCTCTTCATGTTTTGAGTCTTGCCATTAAGCTCTGTTTGCTCCCTGGGTGGGAAATACAGCAAGTCATAACTCTGACTTAGCACCTTGCTAAGTTCAGTAGAGACCATGTCCCCCGTGAAGCTGTGACTGTTCTTTGCCACACCTAGGAATAACACACGGGAAGTGAGGCTCCTGCATATCGTTCCATGTAAAATTCTTCCTAAAAAAACTGGAAAACAGAGCAGCAGGTTCTTCAGCAAACAGCTGCAGGACCAGTACACAGAAGATGCTGCTACAAGGGCCTGAACTCACTGCACTTTCTAGCAATGATGGGGGGAAACAGAAAATAAAAAAATCACTGTGCTCTTCAGGACATCCACACAAAGTGAGAGGGTACCTGGGAGAGGTCCTTCACATTAATCCCTCACAATAAAATGCAGGAAACATTCTCAAGAAGGGGAATGCAGAGGGGAAAGTGGAAAGCCACAAAGATAAAAAGCACTTCAGTCACAATCCTGGGTTGTGTTCATACATAAGCCCTGAGCAAGCCTGGATAAGGCCTGGATTAAGACTGGGCTTGTCACAGGGAACCAGCCTGCTGTGGTAAATGGTGCTGGGAACTGAATGGTCTTTGGACTCTCCGTTCATGAGAGTGGATTTTGCAAAAACCAAACACCCTCATGCGTCCAAGGAAGTGTATGTGTGGTAGCAAGTGATTTTCTTTAAGCATGTAATTTCAAGGAGAAAAAGGCTGCATTCCCAACAGTCTTTGTTCTGACTTACTAAAAACTTCCAACTGCTTTGTCCCTGACAGTAACTACCATATGGCTAAAAACAAATCCTCCATGTGGATGCACCCTGAGCTACTAATCTAATGCACAACAAGTGCCAGAAGGCACTTCTGCAGGCAAGCAATTGTTAACATCCAGGCTGTAAGAAATTGTACTGCTCTGTTCACAAGATCGAAAGTGCTGTTTGGAAGTAAAACTCAATTATCTCTTGCCTCTGTGCATCTGTTCATAAACAGGAGTCTCTCATTACCACTGCTCCCTGTCCTCACGTAGCTGTGCCTGATAATAACGTGGTTTCTGGAATCCATTGAGATGAAACACAGAACAGAAGTCCCTCTACAGAACGTTGCTGTCAAATAGCAATTTCCTTCGGTTAGAAAAGTTGCTGTCACACCATCGTTACTCTATCCTGAAAGACCTTTTTAATGGAAGAGTTACAAAGTGCAATGCCAAGAAGAAGAAATTCTTCACCTACCAGGCGATCAGCAGAAAATACGAAGTCTCCTCTACTGGATTTCCTGAAAAAAAGTAATAATTTATTGTTTAAAATTGGGGAATAACTTTAAGAACACTGATTAAATACAGTATTAATTCAAGGACAATATACCCTGAGGCAGTTCAGAGAAAAACCTCGTATTGTATACAAAATTTATCCCAGAGGTTCTGCATCCCGGGTTTCCTGCTTGGTGGCAGGCACTGGGATGCAGTGAGTAAAACCTGGGCTTTGGCTCTCACTGCGGCTCTGTCCCAGTAGCAATTAAATCATGAACACACAGGGATGATGCTCTGTAGGTTTTCCATTGTACTGCTCTTCCAGTTCAGTCCCAGAACACCTCCCAAGCTCAGAGGGGCACCAATCTGAGTGGTGCATTCCCGGCAGCCCTGAGCAAGGGAACTTTGCTCCACATCTTCTTCAGTTTAGAAATCATGGGACAATGACAGTGCAGATCCCCAGCCCTGAGACTGACAACACACCTGATAAGCAGGAGGCACATCCTATCTTATCTGGAACTCATTCAGAGTGTGAATGGATCAGTGAACCTGAGATTAAAGTGAGCAGGGATTAACAAGCATGCCCATTAAAACACCTCTCTGCCTCTGATTAGCCTGGGCACAACCTTTCACTTGTGCCTGTGTGGCTTCTGGCCCCCTCAGAAGGCAGAATGAAAGGCTACAAGTCGGAAATGGAGAAGCACATTTTAACACCTTGCTTCCCATAACAAGACCAACTCTCACTCTATGGGAGTAGGACACGTTTGCAATCAAGGAGCTCGAGATTACCGGACACTCACCTTCAAAAGCCTCAGACACAGCACCCACATGGCAGACAGGGCCTTTTAAATTAACTGTTTGATTAATCACAGCAGGAAAGCCCCTCTCTCATTCTCCAACTGCGATAGAGAGAGCTCTGCATTTAACCCCCAAGGCTCTGTGACACCTCCCATTAACACGAGGGAAAGGCAAGAGGTTTGTCTGCTCATTGCCTGGGAATTTGTCACTGAAAAAATGAGGTTTAAAAAGAGTGCCAGCCTAATCTATTTTCTTTGCTTGTACTAATAACACACTACTTAAAACACTGCTTGCTTTTATTTTTTTTTACTTCTTTCTGGTAAAACCAGGATGTTCCTAATTTTCTGCCACTTTGACACTAACCAGGCAATACTCAAAAAGATGCCCAAAACTGCAGAAAACAACCCCAAACTCCTGCAATTATAAAACTACTTTTACCGGGATTTTTGATGGGATTCATATTTCCATCTGTGGTGTGTAATTTTTTAAAAAGCAATGTGGCAAAGTGGCACATCTGGGTTCTTCCAGGCTATTGAATTTCAGAAAATCTACCCCAATCTCTAAAGTGGATGGCAAGACAAACACAACAATGTCAAGTCTACAGTAAAGTGATGCATGTTTAGGGTGGATACTCTGAGTTATTAATGCAGATTATTACAGGTTTTACACTAACTACTCTGTCCTTGCAAAGACACGGCTGGTTTTATGCCCAGTTCACTGAACACCCTTATCATGCCTGATTTTTGAGAGGGAAAGGACAACAGAAAAACACATTGCATAAAAATGAGAAGAACAGTTATACTGAAAATGAAAAACCTCGTGTACACGGGCAGCTGCAGAGCTGTGACCACATTTCAAACCCCACATCCCACCAGCAGAAAAACAAAGCTTTCTGTGAAAACGCTGTAACTGTTCCCCTCAAACACCAGACAGCAGCAGAGAAGCAGACTAGAAACTGCTTCAGCTTCTTGATCAAGCAACAAGACAACACCTAATAAGATGAGGCGTTAAAACCCGACTGGAAGCAGGCAGATAACGAGGGGAACGCTGTGGTGACAATGTAAAGTTATTTCAGTTTGTTTCTGAAGGCCTGGGAGCAAGGCTGATGTACAGTTACAGCCACCTGCCTGTCTTGAGAAATGGGGTTTTTGGATTTGCACAGCAGGGTCACTGGTCCATGTTCTACCTGCAGTACTTAATATCCTTCAGGGCCTAATTTTTTCAGTGCCTGGGCTGGGGGGTTTGATGTGAAAGGGATCCCACCCCCTCTGCCTGCAGCAGTCAGCTTCACTCATCCCAGGTGAACTGCACACTCCTGAATCATCCTGCTCTGTGCAGCAGCCAGCACCCTGTGTCCCACTGCTTTGCCATCTGCATTTCTATGGTATCACCGATCCCTAGGGAGGGAGAAGCCTCAGTAGAGCACAACAGAATGATCTCACCTAACAGACACAAGAACCTTTAAATATCTGGATTTAAATCACGTCTATTGTTAAATTAGGAGTTAAAATGACACTACCAACCCGAACTAATGAGCTTGCTTCGACATAAAACACATTTCAGCTTCCAGACCCCTGATTCTCACCTGTAAGGCCAGAAATCACTTTGAGATAATTCCCTCCTCGGGAAGAGGCTGTAAGTGTTTGTTCCAAAACGTTCAATACTTAAATGCATCAGTTCACATCTCATGAGGGCACTGGAGGTTCATATCCAGCACACAGTGAAAAATCGGCCCCTGTTAAACATTCACTGGATGGAAAAGGGACAAGCCTGAGGAAAAATGAGCAAACCCAGGCAAGTTGAGGTGATCTCCCCATCTCCCCACCTCCAGCTCATGGACCAAGTTCTTGTTCATTTTAAGGAAGCAAAAGAAATACATGGTCATTTTAGTCTTCCAGGCTAAATCATGGACCCAGCTGTCTCTGAAGCCCACAGGACATGCTGACCAGCCAAATGAAGGTGGCTTTTTCTTTAGCTGGCAATTCACAACCAGGGCACTTCCGAGGAAGTGTTTCTGTCAGTACTTGGTTTAAATGCTGCAGTGGCTTCAGAGTTTTCCTAAGGCAGATTGCACCTGCCTAGGGAAAGGTTAATAAACAGTGCCCAGAAAAGCCTCTCCCTTTCACACCTCAGCATGTCCCAGCATCTTTCTGAATGCCAGGGACTAAAATAAGCCAGTCTGAGGTCTCTTATTTAATGAGATGCAGCTGAATTTCTGGGACAGAACACAAAAATAACAGTTCCCTATTGTCCTCACCTACAAAGTCTACACCTGCCTTTCTGAGCAGGCTGCTGTCCAGTTTTCCTCACTGGCTGGGAAGGGAGCTTGGAAGTGACAGTTACGTATCCCCACTGCCAGGGCAGAATAAAGTACAGTCTGTGATTGCTGCAGCTGCTCTGAGTAACTCATTATTTACAAGTCTTATTCTGGACTTCCTCTTACCAAAGTCTTGTGCAATGAAGCTGATGCAACCCTAAAAAAAAAAAATGTCTTCCAAGTTAAAATTGCAGCTGCTGGTTTCCAGATAAGAAACCTATTAAATGGATTTGTAACAGTTCAAAATCTGCTTACAACAAAATAATAATATCTAAGTACAGTAACTGTATTGCCAGTATTTGCCTAGATATCAGAACTATATGCTATTTCCTTTTCGCTAACCTCAAAACCTTTTGCAGGCCATCACCGAGCCTAGTTTGGATTTCCTCTCTGTCTTTCTCTGCTTAGTTCACTTACAGCTTCCCTCTCTGCTCTGCAGGGGAGCTGCCAGGCAGCCCTTCTCACCTGCAGAGATCTGTGTGGTCTTGCCACAAGTGCCATCCTTACCCAAAGACCACCTCTGGGTGCTCTTGCCTGCCAGGAGATTATGCTTTTCCACAATACTTTGAAAATTAAGGGGGAAAAAACCGCCAAAAAACAACCAAACAAAAAACAACCAAACAAAACCAGACAAAATACCCCAAACCACAACTAGTTTAAGGTAGCAAAGCTCAGGTAAGCTAATGAAATTAATGGAGGTATTGTTTTTGAGAGAGTGTGGCATTAAAAACTATATTGCTGTTAGCTACAAAGTAAGCCTCAAGAAGCAGAAAATACCAAAATGTAGGCTATGCAGATGGACAGATACAAAGCACAGGGACAAACAGTGTCTGTGCAATGAGTTAGTTATTGCAGATGTCACAAAGCCAATGCGCTGTGGGAAGAGGTTTTGTTCAGAATCTGATCACTCTATTGATAAACTCGATTTCACACCTCTTTGCTGGTGGTTCTTGCATCAGAGGTGGTAAATTATGCTTTTAATAGATGGATGCTATTTATATTTATCTTGTGTTGCATACTAAGTTTAATACCTTACAGCACCATTCCAAGCGCTGAACAGTCAAAGCTACAGACGTGCCATGTGTTCACCACCCGAGATGCTCCGTGGAACCCCGTGCTCACATCTCCCTACAGCCAGAGCCCGGGAACGGCTCCCTGCCCCATCCTGCGGGCAGGACACACGATATCCGGACAGCGGGAACGAGCCCAGCTCCTGCCGGGCCCGCCCGTGACCGTAAGGTACAGCCTCCTTCCTCCAGGGCTTTGTACCGCACGCTCCGTGGAGCGATGATGTGGCACGCGAGCTCCGAGCCGCCCACGCCGCGGAGGTGAGCAAAAACCTCGCATCGGGGAGGGCAAAGATCTGCGAGGGGGTTCGAGACCCGCCGAGCCGCTGTCCCAGCGCCGGTGGCGCCGAGGCGGGGTGGGCAGGGACCCCCGGGAGCGCCGCCCGCCCTCTGCCCTGCCCAGCCCAGCCCTCGGGGCCCGCGTCACCAGACATGGCCGCGCCGCCCGCCCGCCGCTCGACCCGGCACGGCAGCGTCCCGCCGGCCCCGGGATCGGCCCCGGCCCCGGGATGGGCCCCCGGGATCGGCCCCGGCGGGGGCAGCGCGGCCGCGCCGGGACCCCACGGGCAGCGCATCCCTGCGGCGGCCGCGCCGAGCAGGGAGCCGGCACCGGGGTACGGCCGAGAGCGGCTCGGCGGGGCTGCGGCTCCCTGGGGAGGGAGCGAGGCAGGGATGGAGTGAGGGGGACCGGCGGCGATTCCCCCGCAGCCTCCCCGGCTCCTCCGCAGCCCGCGCTGCCCCGCACCCGCCATCCCCGCCCGCCCCGCGGCGCTCACTTGTCCCTGATGATGGTCTGCAGCTCCCGCAGCTGGTCGTTCATGGGCAGCAGCTTCAGCTGCGGCCCGATGGCCGGCGCGCCGCCCTCCCCCGCGGGAACCGGCGGCGGCGGCGCCGCCACCACCCCGTTGCTGCTGCTGCTGCTGCTGCTGCTGTCCGGGCTGGGGCAGCCGCTGTCCTCGCTGGGCTCCGCGAAGCGGATCAGCCGGGAGCCGCCGCCCGCCGTGGCCGTGGCCGCCGGCGGCGGCTCCTCCTGCGGCCGCGGGCCGAGGCGCTGGTTCTGGCAGGGCATCGCCTCCATGCGCCGGGGCCGCGCCCCCGTGCGCGCCGCCGGGGCGGGGGGAGCGCGCCCGCCGCCCGCGCTCCATTGGCGGCCGCAGCCGCCGCTCAGCGCGGGGGCGGGACCGGCCCCGGCCCCTCCGGCCCCTCCGGCCCCGGCTCTGCCCGCACCTCCCGCTCCGCTGCCCCTCCGCTTCCCCCGGGGAGGTGACCCCCGGAGCCCCCCGTGAGCGCAGCGCCCCCGAGTCCCGCTGCGGGGCTTTATCCCGCTTCATTTGATTCGGTTTAGGGGGCCTTTACAGATACGGGAAACTGTAATAGGTGCAGAGTCAGAGACGCGGTAGGATTCGAGGAAGTCTGAAAATGTAATTGTGGGGTTTTTTTCCTGAATACAGCTGCCCAGGTGTAGCTACAGCCAGTGATGTCTGCAGGGACACCCAGGACAGCGCCGCCCCGCAGCGCAGCTCCTGGCACGGATACGCGTCCACGTTTCCACCGTGCCAAGCTCTTGGAAAACGCGCTACACGGAATATGCTGCGTGTGGATAAAAGAACCCTGAATTGCGGTATCTCAGATCTGACAGAGCTCTAATGTCTCAACAAACATGTATTGTCAAACCTCATAACACCACCCCGGGACAATCTGGTCACCGTTGAACAGGGAGGGAGGAGCAGGTTCCACATACCTGGACGCCGTGTCAGGGACAGCAGCTCTTACAAACTCGCAATGAGACCCTAAAACTGAAGATGGAAAACATGCATTTAATCATTCAGTTCATGCTCTCTTTAGTACAGTCCCTAATTTTTTTGTCCAATGCAATTTTGAAGTTCTGAAGAAGCACCAACTGCATAAGAAATATATTCCTTTTATGAAATGCAAAGAGGAGCGTTTCGTGTTCTGATGGAATATTGACATTCTGCCATTCGTCTAACTGAAAAAACACACCAGCAGACTGCTGGAGAGAGGTGATGAATCTTGAGAAAGGGATTAAAAGTGCTAAATGCTGGCACCTTGGTTTCCAGAGAGCTAAGGGGGGACTATGCCCCATGCTGTAAACATTTAAGAAGGAGGATAAATTCTTAATGATGATAGAAGGAAGAAATTCTGAAAGTAGGGAGGTTCCAATTAAATACAGAGAAACTAAATATAAATACCAGCAAATAATTGTGAGTAACAGCTAACAGTAGGGTACCAACCCCAGGATCTGCACCCTTATTTGTTCTCTCTCTCTCTCTCTCTCTCTCTCTCTAAGTGCAAAAGACAATCCTCAAGACACCATAGAGAGAAAGTTGAAAAGAGCAATATGCCCAGGCAGTTCAGGAAGCAAGATGAGAGAAAACAACCCACCCACAATGCCTGGTTTCCTGTAATATGGATGAAATATGTAGGAGGTATTCTTCCAGCCACTTTGAATGCATCAAATGTTGACAGCTAAGAATTTCTACTTCTAAGATAATTATTTCCACGATCAGTAAAAGTTCATGGGCACTTTTTAAGTATGGAGATATTGCCAGAGAACAGCGGCTGTATTTGGAGCTGGAAAGATTAACCCAGAGCCCAACTTAAGCAGAATTTATCCCTCTGTGACACCTGTAATGTCAGTGGTGTGAGCCCTGATGAACCCTAATGTGTATTGAAAAAGCACCAGATCTCTTTGGTAAAAAACAAGCCTGGACTGTCTTTCCATGAAATGTGTCTGCTTTTGAACATTGTTCGAGTTTTCAAACTAAGAAATTCGCAGTAATTTCCCAAACATTCTGAGAAACAAACACGAAAACACAAGAAGAGGAAAAGGATATCA